CAGGAAAACACATTACATGAACGTTGTATAAATTGTTTTGTGAACATTATTAAAGACCAGACAACGTTGAATGAACATTCTATTAATGTTACTGGAAGAACATTTGTTCACAACATTGAGAAAACCTTACCAGAATATTCAGAGAACATTTCCTGTGTTTTTTTTTCAGGAGAAACATCTGAGAAGCATTGTGCTCTCCATTTAAGCTGTGATTTTTTTTTTACTAGTGAGAGACTGTCCTGATCATCAGACTGCATTTTGTAAATTTTCGACGAGGAAAAGAGACAACTTTCTTAACTTATTCTTGACTTATTTTAAAGGCTTCAATAATTCATAAGCACTCACAGGTTGGTATTATTCTTGGATGGCAGGTTCCTTGTTTCGTGGAAATGGTGTTGAACGTTTGCTGTTTGAATGGATGTTTATTTTCACGCGTGTTATTTTTGGTCAGAGTTACTGTCTGACGCGCCACAGGACAGCCGTGCTGTTTTTACCCAAAGAGGAACCACATTCAAACATCATCAACATCCTCAAAAAACCTGCGTTATTGCCATAAATTCTCACAGATAATTATGGATCAGTGCAATAATTGCCAGGCCTTTAAATGCTTATTAAAAGTTCTTGTTTACGGTCTAAAATATAAATGTCTGGAAATATAATGTCTAATACCTTAAATAAAGATTAATTTACTTGAGATGCAAAATAAAGATATGAATTCTTGTTTTCTGAGAAATTGAGTTTCTGCTTAAAACAAGAACAAATATCTGTCAATGAGGTATGAAAATGTTTTAGTTTTTTTAGTTTTTCTGAGCCCATTAGATATTTTTACTCATTTTAATCATGAACTCACTTAATTTGTATCAATTTCTCAGAAAAGGCCTTAAAAACTCTTTTCTAACTCTCCCTTCCACAAATGAAGGCCTTTAAAGGTCACATATTTTACACCTTTCTGGAGTTTTATTTGAAGTCTTGATGTCCTTAAGAATATATATTTGCGGGATAAGTATCAAAAACCATCTCAATATATTTTTACTGCACCTCTCTCAGGAGCTCTGCAGAGAACAAGTCGATTTTGGCCTGTCTAATTAATATTCATGAGCCTCTCTTCTGATTGGCCTGTTGTTTTCTGAGTGAGGCACGGCCAGGCCAACCACAGGTAACTAGGGTCATGTATGCTGTAGCCTGCGGTGGATTGGTGATACTCGCAAGTATAGAAACACCGGTAATGATGGTCACTGCTGAGGGAAATGTTGTCCGGCCTCACATGTTTGACGTGAACTTGAAGACACTTGTACAAATGCGGATGGGTGACATGAATGGAAATGATTCCAGATTGGCGATGTAGTATTTGGTTTCTGTATTCTGTACTGTATTTTCCTGCTCTCAAATCTGCCAATCTAAATGATCAAACGCTGTGTATGGTGTTTGAGGTAATTTGTGAATTAGCATAGACTTATAGTCTAAATAAAACAATTGGCAACTGTTACTATTATTACACTTGTATACAAAACTGTGTATTATGCTTGTTATAGAGTGTGTGACGTCACGTGCACTGCGGTTGTCACGGCGACCGTCACAGCCCTACTGTGCAATGATGTAGTTTCCTGACATCCAGACTGAACAGTGTTTTCTCGACATGTTTCCGTGTTGTTGTTGCTCAGCAATGGCATGGAAGCGATGTTGTCTGGGGGTTTGGCAAAAGGAGAGTGGGGCTGTGGGCAGTGCTCGGGGTGGTTCTGACGTCACCTTTTTACGGAAGTCACGGAAAAATCACAGCTACTTTATGCAGGCTGTGTGCAGTTTACTGCGGATTGACTGGTTTGAAACTTATATGGTAGTTACATAGCACCTAGACCTCAGTTTAAAAAAGCCAGGAAATTTCAGTTTTGACAATATGGGACCTTTAAAAGGTCTTAATAAATTTTAAAGTCTTGAAAATGAAAATGCTGTCATCGTTTAATCACCATCAAGTTATTCCAAACTTGTATGAGTTTCTTTCTTCTGTTGAACACAAAAGAAGATATGAAGAATGTTGGCAACCAAAAAGCTGATGGTATCCATTGACTTCCATAGTAAGGGGAAAAAAATACTACGGAAGTCAATGGGGACCAGATACTGTTTGGTTACTCACATTCTTCAAAATATCTTCTTTTGTGCTCAACAGAAGAAAGAAACTCACACAGGTTTAGAACAATCTGAGAGTGAGTAAATGACGACAAAAGTTAAATTTTTCTGTGAACTATACCTTTAAATTCATGTTGCATACGTTGCAAAAACTAAAACTCTTCCTCAGTATTTTTGTCTTGTTTTTGTTTTGTTTTTTTTCTTGGTTGGACATTTGCTCCATTTGCTCTAAACCTTTTTATGGGCTGCTTCTCATCAGCTGTGTAGACACTTTAAGAAGTTAAAAGAAACAAAAACACAAGTGATTTTGAATTACTGCAGCAATTTTTCATATATTAAGGCATGCTTGCTTGTCTTTATGTTTGGCTAGAAGTAATGCGTCCAAGACTCATTTGCGTTGTTTAGTCAGCGGTTCAGGCCAAGAATAATGACTGTGTTTGACTGACCTTGTGCGCTCGGCTAACCCACAATCACTTAGCGGCTAGTCACGAGGAACACACCCGCTTAACCTGCACACCATTTGTCTTTCAGGAGCCAGACGAGAGAAGAGACGGGTCACTGAATGAGTCACCCACGCTCAGTATTTGTCCACTCCGCCTGGAGTCCAGCAGATTGAGTTTGACTATAGGGGAATCAGAGGTTCCTGCATCATGACAGGACCATGTGGCCTGTGCGAGACATCAGACGCTTTTAAGCATATAAAGAAAATAAAGAAGCATGACATGAAAATGTATGATTTTTTTTTTCAGGGCAATTAAGCAAGTTTTCCCATGAAATAAATATTTTGTTATTTTTTTGTTTTTATTTTTGATTATAAGTTTTATATATATATATATATTAGAAAAAGCATCAATTAAAGGCAGCAGAAAAATACTACCATGATCTGTGAATACTTCACAAATTAAATATATTTTTACTATTTAAATATATTGCATTACAGTAAGGCAAATTAGATTTTTTTTATGCATTACAATTATGAGCATTTGTGGAGAATTTGTAAAATTTTCATGAAAATGCTAATTAAAATATATAGGCCTGGTTTCACAGACAGAGCTTAGACTAAGCCAGGATTAGGCCATAGTTAAATTAGGACATTTAAGTAATTTTTTTATAAAAGTGCCTTAGAAAAAAACATTTCTGGTGTGCATCTTGAGACAAAACAAAGGCACTGATATATTTTAAGATCAGTCAGTGCAAGTTTCTTTCAGTTGAAACAGATCAGATTTACATTTTAGTCTGGGACGAGGCTTAAGCCTTGTCTGTGAAACCGGGGGATAAAGTAAAAATAAAAAAAATATATATTTCTTTGATTTTGGCATGAAATATGATCCAGCATGTTCTCTTATAGGCTTTCAGATGCTGAATGGCATACAAAGCCATTTGATTTTTGTTTTATGATGCATATATCTCTTAATAATGTTATAAAAAGACATAAAGCATTCATCCCCTGAACAGACGCATGCTGGGATGTGAAGAGGCCCCTCAGAAAGAAGTGAGGAAACTCTCAGACAAGATTTAAATAAACAGGGACACAGACGCTGTCAATACTGTCCCATATAGAGCTCTAAATTATAGTGTAAATATTAGTCAGAATGGAGGAATACTGTCATGTACAAATGCTGAATGTGAGAAAGCCATTAGGAAAAAGGACCCAAACCATACAGCTATAAAAAAAAAAAAATTAAATTTAAAGGGTCAATAGTATTAGAATTTTTAATGTTTTTGAAAGAAGTCTCTTCTGCTCGAGGCTGCAATTATTTGATTAAAAATATAGCAAAACCTGTTATATTGTGAAATATTATTACAATTTAAAATAACTTCTATTGTAATATATTGTAAAATGTAATTTATTCCTGTGATCAAATCTGAATTTTCAGCATCATTACACCAGACTTCATATCATAATACCATTCCTATATTTCATAAATCAGAAATGTTTAGAAATTATAAATTCATTTTATTTATTTTGTTTATAAAATCAGAACTCACTGAGAATTTAATTTAAACACTTGATGTTTTATTTCATGTGAGCTGTACACATTTATAAGACATTCCCGTGTCATTGGAGTCACCTTTCTGTCGCGCTGTGGTCTGAAGCGCCCTCTCTGGGCCCCAGAGTGAAAATGCCAATACATGATTGCAACAGTCTATAAAGATGGCTTATACTGGCTTTAAATACTGATGAAATCATTCCAGTCCACAGCTGTAATACTGCACTTATACGTTAATCCAGAAGTATAAACTCTGCTTCTATCAGATATTAGCTGTATACCTCTTTGAAGTGGTTTTATGAGCTGCCTTTGAGGCAATGTTAACGTTTATTAGCTTTAGCTTAACATAATTCTAGATCCTTCAGCCTCCCTGAACAATAATAAAATAATATAAAATTATGAATAACAATAAAAATAATAACAATATTCAGAAAACACTTATTTTTAGGCATTTCAATTGTCTACCCAGCTAAGTCATGTTAAAAGTCTAAGATGCTAAGTCCAGTAATGTTAAAAGAGAACATTTTCATAACTTAATAGGAACGTTAGCAACAGTGCTGGGGGTACATTACAAGTAATCAGATTACTTTTTCAAGTAACTAGGAAAGTAACACATTTTAAATTTACAACGTAACATCTGAGTTACTTTTTCAAATAAGGCCCGAAAAGGCCCTTGCAGTTGCCTATATATATATATATATATATATATATATATATATATAACTTTTAGGTTTTCTGTTATTAAAAATCAAATAAGCAAGCCCAGCCCAGGTGACAAAAAGTAACACAAAGGTAATGTAATGCATTACTTTCCATAAAAAGTAGCTAAGTAATCCAATTAGTTACTTTTTTATGGAGTAAGGGAATATTGTGATGCATTACTTTTAAAAGTAACTTTACCGAACACTGGTTAGCAAAACGTTCTTAGAACATATTTTCGTTAGCCGGGTAGTCACAGTCTTATCTGCATATTGAGAGCTCTAGGCCCTGTAATAAAGTCGTACATTTCCAACCTAAAGCAGCTTATTTCTTGGTTGTGTTCCTTTTAAAGGAGAAACACACAGATATCAGGTCACAGGTTAGTTAAGAAGGGCAGCTCGTTCCAAAAGGTTTACACAGTGCAGCTTGCCCCAAAACTGACCCTTGACCAGCTAAACTAGTTCAGTCAGCATAAATAACCGGCTTGTTTTGGGATCTTTCACGATAATACACTGGTCTACCTTCAAAAACAACTACTGTGCCCATCTAAACCAGTTAAAGTCCCATGAAATGGTTTGATGAGCTCAGATTTCTTTCCTGTGTTGATGTATTTCCTTTTGAAACAGGAAGTTGGGGCGGAACATAATGAAAGACTGGTGCCTTTTTAAAATACCCAATAGTCTTTAGTTTATGTCACAGCCACGCAAAACTGCACTTAGTTGACAAAAGCCAAGAAAAGGCTTTCAAAATAAATACATTCCAGTCACTTCCTACTAACGGTTTGGATGAGGAAATTAATATGAGCAATTTTGTTTATTTTCATATTAAATATCGCAACAGACATTTATCACTCAGTTTAGCACTTTTAAATGACAGTTTGTTTAATTAAATTTATTTTCTGAGGTGTTCTGAGTGTTTTTAGGACATTGCTTTGCAGCTGCTAAGGTGTTGTGAGTGGGTTTTTGGAATGTTGCTATGCGGTTGCTAAGGTTTTGCTATGCGGTTGCTAAGGTGCTGTGAGTGGCTTTTTGGAATGTTGCTATGCGGTTGCTAAGGTTTTGCTATGCGGTTGCTAAGGTGTTGTGAGTGGGTTTTTGGAATGTTGCTATGCGGTTGCTAAGGTTTTGCTATGCGGTTGCTAAGGTGCTGTGAGTGACTTTTTGGAATGTTGCTATGCAGTTGCTAAGGTTTTGCTATGCGGTTGCTAAGGTGTTGTGAGTGGGTTTTTGGAATGTTGCTATGCGGTTGCTAAGGTTTTGCTATGCGGTTGCTAAGGTGTTGTGAGTGGCTTTTTGGAATGTTGCTATGCGGTTGCTAAGGTGTTACGTTGTGAGTGGCTTTTTCGAATGTTGCTATACAGTTGCTGAGGTGCTGTGAGTGGCTTTTTAGAATGTTGTTATGCAGTTGCTAAGGTGTTGCTAAGGTGTTATGTTGTGAGTGGCTTTTTAAAAATGTTGCTATGCAGTTGCTAAGGTTTTGCTATGCAGTTGCTAAGGTGCTGTGAGTGGCTTTTTAGAATGTTGCTATGCAGTTGCTAAGGTGTTACGTTGTGAGTGGCTTTTTAGAATGTTGCTATACAGTTGCTGTGGTGCTGTGAGTGGCTTTTTCGAATGTTGCTATGCAGTTGCTAAGGTGTTATGTTGTGAGTGACTTTTAGAATGTTGATATGCAGTTGCTAAAGTGTTGCTATGCGGTTGCTAAGGTGTTATGTTGTGAGTGGCTTTTTTTAAATGTTGCTATGCAGTTGCTAAGGTGTTGCTATGCTGTTGCTAAGGTGCTGTGAGTGACTTTTTAGAATGTTGCTATGCAGTTGCTAAGGTGTTATGTTGTGAATTGCTTTTTAGAATGTTGCTATGCAGTTGCTAAGGTGTTGCTATGCGGTTGCTAAGGTGTTATGTTGTGAGTGGCTTTTTAAAATGTTGCTAATGTGTTGCTATGCAGTTGCTAAGGTGTTATGTTGTGCGTGGCTTTTTAGAATGCTGCTATGCAGTTGCCAAGGTGTTGTTATGCAGTTGCTAAAGTTTTATGTCGTGAGTGGCTTTTTAGAATGCTGCTATGTGGTTGCTACGGACCGGAATTGAGAACCACTGGTCTAGTCCATATTTTTGGACTGATTTCCTGGGGGGGAAAAAAAGACCGTACATTTTAAATGCATATATTTGCAAAAAAATTTACTTTCTTAAAACATGTTCCTGTTTGTTTAAAATTCCTTGATGCACATTATTCTTATTTTAAAAAATGCTTGTTTTCATAGTCTTTCAACAAAATGTAACAACTTGCTCTGCCTCTGAAACAACTTTCTTTTTCAGCTGACATCACAAATCCCTCTTGCTTTGTGACCCAGCCCCTCCAACCACATGACTCACACGTTTCCTCACTGAGTTTCAATCAGTAATACATCAGACTATGAAAGTAAATTGAGCTGTGAATGCCATTTCATGGGGACTTTAAGTTGGTCCAAACTAGCTTTTTTTGCATTGGTGTGAGAGAGAAAGAGGGGTTTGAGATGTTTCTGGAGTTTTCCATGGGAAATATAATCACTGCCCCTCGGCCCGGGATTCTCCGTCCGGTGTGAGTCAGCTGGGTTGTGTGCCATCAGTCCCTGTGTAATAAAAAGACTTTCATTACATAGTGCACTCTCACGTCTCGCCCATCACAGACAGGGTCGCAAGTCACGGGCATCTTCATTAGACAAATGTCCCTTTCAAAGCGTGTTGATCGATGCTTATAAGCAAGCGCTGGAGCAGAGCCCAGATCAGAGAAAAGAAAAGCCGCCGACAAACATTTAAAAAGACCTAATCAGCAATAATTACAGAAGATGAGCATGACGATATGACACTAGGTGCTTCTCTACCTCTGACTTGTCCTTGGCATAGCTGTTGCTTTTACAAACCTGACTGGCTCACATTATGTGCTAAAATAATGTAACGCAATTTAGCCTCCAGTTTTCTAATGCCAAGATTGTTTTATTACTCTAATTTATAGGCTCAGCTAGGCTCGGTGTTGAGGACAGCAGATCTGATTGGACATGAGTTTCCTAATGCAGTAGTGTGCTGTCTTTATGGTGACTCTCGTGTAGATGTCAGGCTGTTGATTGGAAACACTTTTAATATATGAAGCAACTTAGAAGACTGGCTGTATGCACTCTGGTGTGGACATAAGCTACACAACTATTCAGTTTACGGAATAATAATTACCGATGTTACAATCACAGGGTCAGAAATTAAGGAGGGCTTGTGGCAAAAATGCCACCAAAATGAACAAAATGCACCACAAATTCAAGATAAAGGGGCAAAAATTGCCCCTCCATCATTAATCTAAATATACGGCTGTCGCAGTTAAAATGAAATGTGAAAATGATCGATTCGCAGAATTACATTTACATCTGCGCACGCTACCAGATTGCTTTTTACGCTTTGTTTTTGCAGCGTCGAGCCTTCTAACCAATCACACATGTTTCTGATGAGTTTATGAATGCAATGGCCAATCAGATTCGTTTAGTTTAGTCGGTGCTGAAAATGCCGGAGTTTTGTTGAGTGCGCGCGTTAACTGAATTCTCTGTGCTGATAAACCACGAAGTGCAAATACTATTTAAATAAGAGATTAATTTCGCAGTTTCAGTGATTATAACGGCAGTTTTTCATAACTTGGATTTTTTTCAAATGTTGCTATCAAATTCTCCAAAACTGTTCGCTAAGCTCATGATTAAATTTCATATGTTAAATCACCAATGAAATCTGACAACAACTGTCTCATAAATGTTGTTTCTTATGTTCTAATAGAGTTTAAAAAGCGTATTTTCAGGCTATACCAGGCAGTGCGCATGCGCAGTCTTAAGGGAATGTCTCAGAACGCTGAGTGTTTCTATAGCAACCGGGACTTCTAACGGCAACTGCTGTGACGAGCTGACTTTACCGATTAGCGATTGGCTCTTTTACTCAGAAGGCGGGGCTTTCTTGAGCATTGCATTTCCCCCCATTCAGAACTATACGAATGACACGTCTTGGGTGTTCCATAGTCTTTTGGTTCCTAGCCTGATTTTTCTTACATAAATCAAACTGAATCATGAACTGGGAGACTAGTTTTAAGTTAGTTATTTTTTTTCTTTAAGACTGGTCATATTTTTTTTTTTATTCAGTTACATAAAAGCTTAGATTAGTCTATGTTTAAAAATGATTTTAAAACTGATTACCCTTTGGCTAACTGCTAGCTGGTCAAACTTGTACCAATCACAGCGAGGTGTGCTGTGATTGGCCAGCTATCCAGTGTGTTGTGATTGGCTGAATACCTCAAGCGTACCTCACACACGGCGGCCTATAGAGTGAGCAGAGACCGGGGGATAAAGTGAGGAACGGCCGGCGGGCTAGAGTGAGCAGAGGCGGCGGATTCGATGAAGGAGCGTCCGGAGGGCTTGCGGCAACCACATGTGACGACCCCGAGCTGGACTCCGCTTCATCCACGGTGAAAGCCGATCCGGCGATCCACAGCAAAGTTGTAGTATTTCCTCAGGGACCAGCACGGATCAGCTCCAGGCATGACGAAGCGGATATCGTCCTCTTTTGGAAGACCAAACAAAGTAGTTTCGCTTTCACAACGAAACACACAGCGCCTTCACGACATGGCGGCGGCGGCAGCAACAATACTACAGCGAGAATAAAAGTTACACCTTCTTTCTTTGCGTGAATATTGGGCGGCGTTATGCAAATCTTCCCACATAGTGATGTAGATATGTGGGGGCGTGTTAGAACGAGCCGTTTTAGGTAGGCGTGTCTGACTCTGAACTTTTATAAAGAATATCTCTTTGGATTTGAGACTTTAGTCTTCACAACTTTACAGATCTTATTTATGCACCAAGAGCTTGTAACACTCCAAAGAGAAAGGAAAAATTGAAATCGCATCATATGACCCCTTTAAGACACTGACTAAACATAGAGGCTAAGTTTATGCAATGTCCCCTGAGTACAAGTGGAATGTAAAACGAGGAATAATATGTTTTGTGTTCAAATCACTGAAATCACATTAATCACCGATGCATCGCGAAGCAACGTCTACTCACTTGTCAATCAACCAGAGCTCTAAAACAAGGGATTTGACATTTCCCACCAACTTGTGCAAAATAACGGCCTGAATAAAACGTTTGGAATAAGCGCATTATTTAATATACATGCACAAGACTTCAGCCAAAGTCTTGCTTCAGCATATCAGATCATGTGAATCACATCTGAAGTTCACTTTACACAGGTAAGCCATTAAATACTCTACATATTTCACTTGAAACACCATGTTTGTGCTTTGATTAAAATTCAAATATATTTGAGAAACAGCGATGTGTCTCATCTGTGATCGAATCATGACGCCAGATGTAAGTGATCGTGATTTAGCATCTTTAGCATATTTTAACATCTTTTGTTTTACTATGTGGTTTTGTTCCGGATCGTTGCTGTGTGGTAACTTGCTAGGGTGTTATATTTTTAAGCAAATGAAAATATATGGGATTTAGCATGAATCCCTTCTAAACAAGAACTATTTTGATATTTTTCTGTATGGTTCTTAAATCAGCTTCTAGGTATCATCACTAACAAAGGGACATTTTTTGAAGTACATGCCACAAGAAAGATAAATCCCAATCATATAAGATCCGTTAATTTCTTGATTATTTCTCCTAGACATATGATTGTATTTTTTTCTAATATTATATTCTTAATATTTTCTGAGAAATATAGACCTTGCGGTTGGATCAAACAATATAACCTTTTTTTTTTTTTTAATGTCTGGCTCCAGGTTGAAAATAAGTAGGCCTAATCTTTACACTATTATTGCATGTTTTTTAAAACGATTTCATTTTTATACATCTTTCAACCTGACTGCTGTACCATTATTTATTTACATTTTACTCTGGACTATTATTGTGGTGCAACCTTCTTCTGATAATCCCACCCCTAAAAGAAAAAATATATATATTTTTTAAAACTGTGGTTGGTCATTTTACGTGTCATTCAGACGTTCTCTTCCTGTCTAAGGAGGCGTTTAATTGGTAGCCAGAATAAGCTGCAATGTGAGCAGACTTCATGCCGTCATACTGTATGATTGCTCCATCCCTCATTTGTCCAAATTGTCTGCCACCCCAAAAAGTTCAAGCCAAAGTCTGAGTGCACACAGACAGATGTAATTATCCACCTACCCAAAAGTAAAACTGTCTTCTGCACATTTATATTTTATGATTGTTCTTAAAATAGCTTTTGCTTGAACAATATATTAAAGCTGATGTGACTTTATTATAGTTGCAGTTGAACTTTAATGTCTCTGGTCCAGTTGAATATTTAATGTATCTTGTATTTGAGTAATACACAATAGGTTAAACTTGTGTTCAGGGCAGAATTATGATGGTTTAAAGTCTATATAACGGTGTTTTTAAATTAATAGAGCTGTCAGGAAGGTTTATTTTAAGTATCAACTTTGTCTCACGTTTCTCGTAAAATTCCTTAGGAAAAAATAGACAGCAATGAGTGAATAGTTGTCATAAAGTAAGAGTAAATGCTGTATGTAGAGCTATAAAAGTGATGAGAATTGATGAGAACTTGATGAGTTTGAGTTCACATTGAGATCTCTTGAGAACATAATTTTTTCTTAAGAGAAACATATGAGAAATAAGGAGACTTAAAGGGATAGTTTACCCAAAAATGAAAATTCTGTCATTTTCCTGCCATAAAAAGAGTTTTAAAAAAA